TGCCGGCCAGCTGACCTGCCAAACCTAGCTGCCTGCCATCTGGTCTGCTGATCAGCCTTCAGTTTCATTAGTCAGGAACCTGTGGCCTGACCCATAGACTCAGTACTTGTCCATCTCGACAATTGTGTGAGCTATTTCCTTGATATAAACCTCTCTGTCTCTATCTATAAGCTTTACTTCTTTCAGTCTGTAGAGAACCCAGGCGAGGACACAGACATTCACTCACACAGAAGGCCTATCTGCCTGCACTTTGCTAACATGGTAGAAACTGAGATAAGTTAGACCCACAAGATGGCCAAAGAGCCTGCCCAGCACTTCACAGGTCAGTCACCCAACTGAAATGAAACTTCTGTAAGGTTAGACCTCAAGGCAAGTCAGACAAGTAAAAGAAGGAGGGAAGAAAGATTGGGTGGAAGCTTTTGGACTGCATCTCCTAGGAACAACCTGCCTTAGTGCCCAAGCCACTCTTAGTCCCTGACTGGGTGCATCTCATGGGAAGCATAACCTCGGCACAAATGTCGGGATGGCGTTGATCAATTTTGTTCCCTGCAATTAGAGGACAGCAAGCCACCAAAGAATGGAGACACACTCAGGGACCAGATCTAGAAACCTGAACTCTAACTCATTAGAGCAGAGGGTTATAAACTTAAAACTCATTTGGTAAAACTGTCCAGATTTCCAGCTCCTTTCAACCAATCAACCACCAACACTGAGTCAACACTGAGTCCAGTTTGGCATAACCCCCAACGCTCTTGTCTTAAGAGCCACTTCATTCATTAATATGATTTGACTGGTCCTGCGGCTTGGGGCCCCTGATCCAGTCCAACCCCTTAGCTTTATTATACAAGACAGAATTAAGACTCCTCAGAGGTTATGTAACATTAGTCTCAAGATTACAGTTCGAAGGATATCCAGGACTAGAATCCAGGTGTGCTTATTAGAAACCTCCTGTTCTTGACGATAGTACTTCTGTGCAGCCCAAAGTTTTTCTCTCTCTTTTACTTCATCATTGCCTCATGTTAGTATCTATGTTAACAGATTTTGTGTGTAGTCAACCCAGATACAACACCATGTATATTTCATGTCTAAGTGTGGTGATGTATATTTCATATTCATCACCACACTTAGTCTGTAAATTCTCAAAAACTCAGGTAATCTAGAGAAACAGAAATAGTTTTACTTTTATCTGTGCAACAATGGAACCTGATACTGAGCTGTGTGTGACATGGGTGACCCTGATGATTGGGAATAATTGTATCCTACCAGTTTGAGGGTGTCCTCCACTCCTGGTCAAAGAGCCTACCCTGCCCCATCAAGGGGAATGTTCTCAGATGCAGGGCGGCTAGACCACAGACCTGCTTCTCGAAAACACAACTTACTCAAGGGGAATGTTTCAAAGAAGCAGTCCCGAAACTCGCCACTTTCCTTGTTCTCTAGAAACAGAATCATCAACAATAATTAAGAATGTACTATCCTATGAACATAGTCCACACAACAGTCATTTTCATAAAATGCAGGTCAAGAAGATATTGGCAGACTCGAAAAGTTTTCTTCCTAGGCATGAAATAGTGCCATGTACAACAAGGCTGGTCCTAAAGGTTAATCTTATTTGGTCATATTTATGGTGTCTATGGTTAATCTGGAGTACTGGTGTGATGCTGTGGGTTAATGCGTCAGACTGCAAAGTCGTTTGAACTGCAAGATCAGTGGTTCAAGCTCACCAGCTGCTCCATGGAAACCCTATAGAGGGTCGCTATTCAGTTGGAATCAACTCAACGGCATTATCAACAACAACACGATTAATCTGCTCCTCCCTGTTCCTTGGCCTCATTTCTCTCATCTATCACGTGACTGCCAAGTCTTCTCGTGTAGTTCCTTCTCCTTCAACTAACACCCAGTGTAATCATCAGCATCGTGAATATTACAAAGATTGAAACAATGGGAACTAGAGTAGACAAAAATCTTTACCCCAATTCCTCAAAATGCTTGATACTAGAAATAACACTCAGACACCAACACCTTAGACTTCATCCCAGGGTCAAAACTATCTGCCAAGAATGCACCCACTCCTAGATATTTGCCTTAATTTAAAAATATCAGCTATTCAACAATGTTGAATAAATATTTACTGAGACATTAGTATGTTCCAGGCACTGTTCTAAGTGCTGAGGATCAACGAAACATGAGACAAAAACTCCTACCTGTGGTTCTAATGGGTTGTCAGTGGTGCATAAAGCTAAGAACAAGCTTAGTAAGAAGTCCCTCTGCCTGGCAGAGTGCTAGATCTAAGCAAACTTTAGGTCATGGACAAAGACTTCCTCATATCCAGATCTGACAGGCCCTGGGTGGTACAAATAACTGACATGCTCAGCTGCTAACCAAAACATCAGAGGTTCAAATGCACCTGTGGTACCTGATGGATTAAGACTTAGTAAAGCCTGATGATCTACTTTTGAAAAATTAGCCAGTAGGAGCACAGTCCTACTCTGACACACATGGGGTCACCATGAGCTGGAACCAACTCAATGGCAACTGTGTTTTGTTCGTTTGTCTGTTTTATTGACACTTACCTTGGTCATTATTACTTGCAATAAATTATTTGATTGGCAAAACAAAAGATGGAGATTTTCTCCTGCACATGTGACCTGGGAGAGCCACAGCTAGTGCTACTGTCTCCAGGCTCCCCAAGCCTACCTACCTTTAACTTGGCTTTTCATGCTTTTCTTCAGGCCACTTTCCCCACTATCACCTCCTCCTTCTTCTGCTGCCACCAAAGCAAAGAACTCTTCCAAATTTTCACCTTCTACTTTTGCCAAGCAAAAATTGCTAAACTTCAGTGTGCCAGGTCCTTCCAGTAGTATCTATGAGATTAAAAATCAAAAGTTTTCAGAAACGAATTCAATTGCATTTGCATTCCCCTCAGTTTCCCTTATAAGGGCACCATGGAATTTGTAGCATTAGATTTATTATTTCTTCACAAATCAGAAAATCAAATGCTTAAAAATATTTTTAGGTCTACAATCCAATCTTTTGATAATAAAAAAAATCAAAATTAAATTTCATCCTCAGATATATATAATTGAATACAACATCTAATCACAGAAGAAAAACCTACACTATGGAAAAAAAACACCATCTAAATACAATCATCTATTTTTCCCAACACAGACATTTGCAAATCCACCTGCCTTGAGGCACTGCTTTATCAAGGAGGAAAATTGGGGGGGGGGAGACGTCAAAAAGTTCATGGAATTGAAAACTAATGCAATCTTTCCACAAACTTTTTGAAGCCCCCTCATATAATGTAGGATATGAAAACTGGGTTTGTAAAGTAAGACACCTGAATTTGAGGCCCAGATCCACCTGTGTGGCCCTGGAGAATTTACTTGGAAAGTCTCAGTCTCTTCACCTATAAAATGGGACAAAAAAATAACTTTTTAGAGAGTTGTATAGATTGAGATGACACCTGCAGCAGGCTTTTAACAGAGACTATGGCTGTTGTTGTTACGTGCCACGGAGTCAGTTATGACTCATAGCAACGCTATGCACAACAGAACAAAACCCTGTGCAGTCCTGCACCACAAATGTTGATACTCTTGAGCCCACTGCTGCTGCCACTGTGACAATCCACTTGTTAGGGGGTCTTCCTCTTTTTTGCTGATCCTCCACTTTACCAAGCATGATGTCCTTCTCCAGGGACTTACTGGTCCCTCCTGATAACATGCTCAAAGTCTGACAGATGAAGCTTCACCATTCTGGCTTCTAAGGAACATTATAGCTGTACTTCTTCTGACACAGATTTGTTTATTCTTCTAGCAGTTCCATGGTACTTTAATATTTCTCTCCAACAAAATAACTCAATTGTATCAATTCTTGTAACTTATAGCGACCCTGTGTAAGATTTCTGAGCAGTAGCTGGTGGGTTTGAACCTCCAATTTTGTGGTTAGCAGTCCAGTGCTTATTCTACAGCACCACACCAGGGCTCATTAACAGTGATTAGAATGTGGTAACAGCTCAAGTCTGCTAATATAATTTGTGAGCAGAAATTATCTGTTATTTGTTGACATTCTACCACGAACTACCATGTTTGTGTATTTTCATCTTTGCCTACAGAGTCATTAAAGATATTCCTGGGCAGTTGTAATGGGTCAGGTGGCTCATGTTCTAAAAAGCAATTGAAACTTCACCCTTCTAGTCAACAGATAATTTAGGGTGTCTATTAGCCTACAACAGTGGCATTTAAAGTGTGTGAACATCAAAATACCCTGGATGACTTGTTAAAGCACAGATTATAGGGCTTTAGAAAGCCTTAACCAATATAAGACGGCTTCAAAATTCATGAGAAAATACCACCATCTTCTCATTACATTAGTCCATGAACTTTCTGGAGCTTCCTAGTGAGGAGCTCTGTCTGGTTGGTAGCATAGTGGTTACGAATCGGGCTGCAAACCTTAAGGTCAGGAGTTCGAAACTACCAGCTGTTCTGCGGGAGAAAGATGACGCTTTCTGCTCCCGGAAAGATTTATAGCCTCGGAAACCCTGTACAGGGTCGCTATGAGTCGGAATCGACTTACAGCACATAACCACCACCACTATGTCTCTGGAGTCTTGGCGTGGTGTTGGAAACCCTATACAGAGTTGCTGTGAGTCAGAAGTGACTCTAAGGCACTTAAGTATATCTATAGGATAAGCACTGGATTACTAACTACAAGGCCAGCACACAGAGCTCACCACCCTCTCTGAGGAAGAAAACTGAGGCCTTCTGCTCCCGTAAAGATTTACAGCCTCGTAAACCCTGTACAGTATCACTAAGAGTTGGAACCAACTCACCTGCACTTAATAACAAACAGTGTGTCTGGGGTGGGGCCCACCAAAATGTAAAAGTCAAGCTCATTGCCATCAAGTTTATTTTGATGCAATACAACATGGCAGAGCTGTTCCGTGGGGTTTCCAAGACTATCACCTTTACAGGAGCAAACAGCCTCATCTTTCTATCGATGAGCAGTTGGTGGGTTTGAACCACAACACTCCAGTTAACAGCTCAATGCTTACCCAACAGTCCCACCAGGGCATTATCTGGAACTTGTTAGGAATGCAGGTTCTTTAGTGAGGCCCAAGAACCTGCATTTCTAACAAGTCCCAGGTAATATTGCTGCTGCGGCTGCTGCTGCTGAGATACATCTTTGAGAACCACTGGCAGGGTTCAATAAAGTTTGGGGTTTTTATATATATATAAGGGCCAGATAGTAACTACTCTAGACTGTTGAGGCCATACATTCCCTGTCCCAACTACTCAGTGTTGTCCCAGTAGCAGACCTGACAATACAAACAAATGGCTATGACTATGTCCCAGTAAAGCAGAATTTACGAAAACAGGCATCTGTCCAACCTATGCTAACAAATCCTTGTTCTGGAATAAAAGTTACATTATGTTGTTGTTACGTGCCGTGGCGTCAGTTATGACTCATAGTGACCCTGTACAGGGTTTCCGAGGCTGTAAATCTTTATGGGAGCAGAAAGCCTCCTCT